TGCTGCCTGGCTGAGCACAAGAAACGGGAAAAAATACCAAAATAAACGGGAAAAAATACCGAAAAAATAGCGCCACCATTCCACCACCTCAACAGTAAGACGATTGTTATTAATGCGAATTGCCCCCAGCCGAGGCTTTCACTGGGCGATGCGCCCCGAAGTGATCGCTTCACTTCGGTGTCGGCGCTCACTGAGACAGCCAGCAGCCAGAGGCCTTTTCGCACTTCACTGGAGGGTGGGGGAAGGGCCCAACTAGACGAGAGGTTCACTTTGGTTGAGAAATGTTCAGAGGGGGGGCCCGGGGCTCATGTGGGGTTGAGGGCTCTCTCGAATGCTTCCGAAGCAGAGCAACTTCTGGCCTGCATGCCTCCAAGACATTGCTCCGCGCATCACGCTGGAGGATGGGGCGCTTTGTTGAGTTCCAAGCTGTGCAACCCGGCTGCTAGGTAGTGCCTTGACCATGTGCTTAACTGCGATATGTGCCGATGACACTTCTTTCGAATGCCTGCGCTCGAGACGTGCCAGAGGAACCTGCTCTTGCTGAGCTCTTTGGATGGCTGGCACCGGGGAACGAGCACTTGCCAATCGCCGCATGGCTCAAAGCCATACAATGCGGTGCAGTTCTTTCAATCTATGCCTTCGGCGTGAGGCACTCATCGAGAACAAAGACCATGGAGTAGAGGTCCACCTCCAACGCTGCGAGATAGGATATCAGAAATATATAGATGTATGCATATGTATTATATATATATATAACTACACATATATATATATATGTATGTGAACAATCTACTATACGGAACTCAGAATTCCCGCCGCACCTCAATGATGTCATCCTGACGTGCACCCTGCACCGGGCACCATGCAGGACGCTGAGCCTCAAGGTGATGGCTTCGCACCTCGCCCGGCCACTCCTCGTAGTACCTGGGCATCGCTCTTAGAGAGCTTAAATAAAGTTAGCGCGAGGGGCCGAGAAACCCGGGCCCTGGGCGAGGTCTCGTAGCCGTTGAAGTGGTGCAAGTGGTGGCCGTACCTAGCAGACACCGCAGTTTTCCCCGGCGGCCCAAGCTTTGCCTTCTTTCCAAGCTCCGGGCCCTTCCTCTTCCCACCATCCCTCCGCGTCGGGATAGTACCTATATAGGAAGTTCTTTAAAAGCAAAAATAGAAAGGCGCTGTCTCTTCCCCTGAACACCCTCAGCCCCGCGGGCCCATCGTAGGAGCGCTCGTTACTCCGCTCAGCCTCTGGAGTTGCACCTCAAGGGCTCTGAAAGGGGCTCAGCCGCGCGGCTCAGCCGCGGCTCCCGAGCTGAGGAGCGCTCCCTCGGATCGGCTGGCCTGGGGCACCACTGAGGGTTTGGGGGGGGGGGGGGGNNAAAGGGGGTGATCAGGTCTTTCAGAAGAAAGGGAACCCCTAAAGTGTCTGAGTCCGGAAAAGCATGGCAAAGCCAACCAAAAGCCCAAAAAGGATCCAAAAAAGTGTCCAAACTTCGCACTTTTTGAGCACCCCTTTTCAGATCGGGCTCCGCGCGACGCTGGCCTTTCTCTGCAGAGTTCCGGCGCCCTTGGGGGTCCTCTGAGATCGCGGCATGTCAAAGGGTGTAAAAAGGGAGGCCCGATAGATGGGGTATCGAGGGTAGGGGGGGTTTGGGGGGAGCCCCGTCCTGCTGCCCAGATGGACATCAGACATGTGCTCTACATCTGCGCCCAAGGCCGGTAGGCAGGCATGCCTGAAAAAAGAGAGCAGGACTCCGAGTCAGAAAAGAGAAGCCGCTTGCGCCCTGAAGGGCCCTCTGCGTGGCGAGCCTTCAGAGTTCCATCTGCTCCTGAATCAGCCGCTTGGCATCGCACTGCACTCGTGGCATCATGGTCTGAAAGTATATGAGCTGGCCTGGCAGAGGGGAGGACCTGAGATGGGTCTCCCCCATCCTTCGAACCAAGCTGGCAACGGAGCATGAAAGCTGAACGTGCCAATGAGGAGGCGATCAGAGGCGATCCGAAACAGCGCACATGCCTTTTGCACTGCTCTCCTTTCAGACTCCTTTCAGGGCTGCCCTCGGCCCTCGGCTCAACCGTGCCTGTCGGCTTTGCCCTTCGCTAACCCGAGGAGCAGCCAGCTTTTGCAACGAAGAGACACTCCTTGAAACCAAGGCTCCGGGTTTTTGGCAAAAGCTGGCTCTCCCCCACCTCGCAAATTGTCTTTCAGCCTCAGAGCCCTTGCGGCTTTCCGGCCCCAGAAAGGCGCTCACTGCGCCAGGCTCCGACCACGGGTCGCTGCTTGCGAGGCCCTGGCATCCTTGAGACTCTAAGACTCTCCACAAGGCACCGCGCGGTGTTTTTTCGGCTCTTGAGACCCGGCCTGGTCCACGGCGAACGTCCAGGCTTTGGGGCTCTGCAGCTTCCTGCAAGAGCAGGGAAAGAGCAGCGGAAAGAAGACTCCACAGACAGGACTCTGGAAACCCCTTTGGGGCTCCGAACCTTTGGCCCAGCGGGGACCAGGTCAAGGAGCCGCAAGCCTCGCCCCCAGAAAACCCCGAAGCTAACCCGAAGATGCGAGGTTTTTTCTAGATTTTTCTACTAGGTTTTTCTTGAAAAACCTAGTAGAAAAATCTACTAGGTTTTCTAGAAAGACTTAGCTGCGACGCGCCTGACATCGCCGCCAGCCCAGGAGCTCCAGAAGCGAGGCCTCCAAGAAAGCGGAGGCAACAGCGAGCTTGACAGCGAGCTGTCAAGAGTCACACAAAACCTTATTGAAAAGAGGGACGCTTACGGAGGGCGCCGTGTTACCTCCTGAGTTCATTGTCTTGCATTACCAGGCCATTTGAGATGGTTCCATGGGGTTTGGGGTGGGGGGAGGGTTTGGGTGGGGGATAATGGCATCGTGTCAAATCCTAGTGTCGGCGGCACATCCTATCAATGCCTACAACACCCAAATCTTTCGTGATCTACAAACATGTTGAACTTCACCATGATGTGCGGAGCAAAACTCGCGTTCTGCTCAACCATGCCATCTTGCGTTCACCCACTGACGCGCGCCAGGCAAGGCACGAATTCTCGCAAGAGGAAACTGAGAGGTAGGCAGCCAGCAGGAAGCCCGGCTCGGCAGCCGAAAAAGGGCCAAGTAATTATAGAAGTGTCTCTAGATGATTTATATTCTAAGAGGGGCCGTGATCTTTTGGCCAGAAACTATCTTGGGCCTGCGACGCATAATATTCAGCAGTGGGGTTTGCGTTGAAACAATTTCTGACATCGGGTACCGTTTTCATGGCGCCGGTAACTCACTTAGTATGTTTTGATAAACGCTTACTCGTGGACTTGTCCACTTATCTTAAGTGACTGAGTCCTTTCAACCTAAGTACTTATCCAAGTGGCTTATGTGTGTGCAGACTAAGTAATATTAAGGCACTTATGCCATGGCAACTAACTGCTTCTTCTAACCGCTCCAACTCCATACTATGTGGCTTTAAAACTCACTAACCCCACCGACCCTCCAAGTAGAGGAGCCAGGGCGAGAGCGCCAGGACGGGACTAAACAAAAAACCCGGTCCGTTGCCCCGCTTTGGCGCCTGAGAGGGTGGCGGCTGCACCTTCCTCTCCTCCTGCCCCGGCAGCCTAGCCGCCGCACGCGTGGAGGCCGTGACGTCGAAGAGGCAGCTGGGCTTCTCCCCCAAGAAGTCCTCAAAAGACCACCGAAGAGCTCATAGAAGGTTTCTTTGAAGGGGCCCGAGGAGGGGGGAGGGTTGGATTTATACCCGCAGGGAGTCTCCGGGACTCCTTCTCAATCTACCGACTCACGCAGGTTCTGGGGTCCTCCAAGGTGACGTGCGGAGGCCGGCTCCGCTTCCGGCTCACGGAGGGGGAGCGAGAGCGGAGGTCCGCCAGGAAGCTCTCCAGGCTCTGCGCCTGGATTGTTTAGCAGCAGAGCTCTATGATGATTTAGGACGGTGTGTTTCTTGCAAAAAATTATACGGAAGAAGGTCGAGAGCGGGCACGTTTGAAGAGCCTTCCTTTAAAATACGAAGCGGCGAGAGCATATCCTGCCCTAGAGGCTCCTGCGAGAGGCTCCGTGTCACCGAAAAGGCGCCTCTGCAGGCTGCCTGGAGCGGTCCCGGGAGCGCAGCTGGAACTTCACCTACAAACAAGCCCATCGCCATCGCTTTGTTGCACCCTCTTCCTTCTACCCATAGGCTCCATAGTAGTTCCTTTTTGGCGTTCATATTTCGGATCCCAGAAGGTAATCCCAACAAGGAACTGCTTTGGAGCCTATGGGTATGGTTAGCGACCTATATTCCCCAGGGAGAGGAGAAGAGGTGAGACGCAGAGAGCCTCCTCGGGCTCCCTTGGCTGGCTTCTCTCCTGCGGGCATCATGCCGGGCATGGCCAAGACAGAGATGCAGATACAGGAGCCCGGCAGCTGTAGTCAGTCTAGTTGTTGAGCTGAGGGAGGCGCCGTGGCATGGGCATCGCAGGCGGCGAGCGCGCCATCCGGCGAGGGCTCGCGTGAGAGGCCAAGGGACTTCAGCATGTCTCGGGCGCCGCTCTGAGTCTGTCGCTCCTCTTTTTGGGGGAGAAAGAGGACAGACTGAGGAGCAAAGCACAAAAGACTAAGACCAGAAGCAGCTCCTCCAGGAGTTCGGCCAGGTAGTCCACCTGCTGCAAGAGAGCCTGGGTCCTTTGACCTTCCTCCTCCAAGAGCAACCTCAAGGTGGTGTTCTCCTGCTCGAGTTCCTGGGATTGGCTCTCCATCTGCGCCTTCTCGGCCCGAGCGGCATCGCGCTCCGAGGCCAAGGTCTCAAGCTGCGGCCAAGACGGCCCGTCCTCGCTGCGCTCGCTGCGCCGCGAGGGCGACGAAGGAGACGACGGCGACGGCAATGAAAGCTCCTGTTCGGCGTCCTTCGCCCTTTCGGGCGCCGACGTCGCCGCGGGGACGTCCTGCCCGGCGCAAGTCGGGCGCTGCCCGGCGAAGCTCAGGCGCTGCACGACGGCGCTGCCCGCGCGGCGCCAGCGCTGCCGCGCCCGCTCGCCCTCCCTCTCCTCCCTCTCCTCCCCCTCCTCCTTGGGAGGGCTGCTGGTGCGCAGGCTTCGCCGGCTCTTCAGGCGGCACTCTGCCTCACATGAGGGCAAGGAGAGGAGGAGGGACGCAGATGGCGCAGAGCGCGACGGGCCTGGAGCTTGCGGTGCTCCTCTTCCAGCTTCTGATGCTTCTCCTCGAGAGCAGCGGCATGCTCTTCCGCGAGGCAGGCGGCCTCCCGATGCTCCTGCGCAAAGGAGGGGAGAGGGAGAGAATGTGAGAGAGGGAGAGAGTGAGAATGTGACAGAGAGAGAGAGAGAGAGAGAAAACTATAATGCAGAGTATAAAAAGGTTGCGCTCAAGAGCCGAGTTTGCAGCGCTCCCGCTCGCTCTGCTCGGAGCGCTTGAGCCTCTGCCTCATCTGCTCCATGCTCAGCTCCTGCGAGACCACAGACTCTTGGGAGGGTTCGTCTCGTGTCGCAGCGTTAAGGCGAAGCTTCGTGGAGAAGTTGCGCTCCTCGTCCGAGTCTGCCGAGGCCGCGCTCTGCAGGCGCTGCTGCCGGGCCTTCACCGGCACGGAGTTTGGAAGGGGACCCAAAAAGCTCCGAAAAAGATGCACTTAAGGGAGCGAGCCCTCTGCCCGTCCCTCTGCTAGAGCTCCAACTCCAAGCGTCGGCACTCCTGAAGGACGCGGAGGCTCAGGGCTCGCTTCCCGGTTCTTGGGCCGCGCCTCCTCCAGCCTCTGACCTCAGAGCACACGCAGCTGCAGCCGGGCGGCGGGCCGGGGGCCCCTCCTCAATTCGGAGTTTCTTGGCCTCGGGCGGCGACTGGCCTGCAACGAGAGGCAGAGGCAGAGGGCAGGCAGTGCCGTGACACTCGGCCCACTCGTGCCTCTGAAGCGGCAATCCGCGACTTCTCAAGCCGGAGCACCTCGATCAGATCTTGCTCAACTCTGCAAAAAGTCGATGAAGAGAAGCGCCTCCAGCTCCTGCTCCAAGGCTTCATTCCTGACGGCGAGCGTATCACCTCCCGCCCTTCCGATAGCAAACTGCGCGCGACTACAGGCCCTGCACCGGCCAACAACACAGAGATAAAAACCACTCGGAAGCCAAGACGTACCAGTACCAACGCTGTGGAGCGATCAGATGACTCAACGCCTCAACGCACCTGCAGTGTACGCAGCAACATGCGGAAGTGGCACGGTCAGAAGGGCAGGACGGGCAGGACGAGCAGGATCGATCGCTTGCAACGCGGTGTGCAGACAGTATAGGGAGATCGTATGGGGGGAGGGGCAGACATCTCTCGTCGAAACCTGCTTATAACAGCGTGAGAGGCCCAGATGGCTGTGGCCTCGAGAGCAGCAGCTGGCCGAGCTCCGCCGACCTTTAGGTTCTCTGGGTTCTTGTTATAAAGGGATCTAAGCTTCAAGTCACCCTTTTATATAGGGATCTATGGTAAATCATATGCAAATATATGGCTTCTTTTTTTTTGTGGAAACCGCGACGTGCACACGGCTCCCCAGAGTACACACTTGGAGCGCTCCGCTCTCCGCATTCCTTGGCTCCCGGGCTCCGTTACTTAATAGTATATTATATAGTATATTATATAGCAAATTATACAGTATATTATATCTTATCTTATCTTATACTATGCTACATGATGTTCTTTGCTGCACTCTTGGCTCCCGGGCTCCGTCAGAGCCTCCCGGGCCTCGGCGGCGCCTTGGCGCGCGGCCTCCATCTCCGTGCGCAGCAGCTCCAGCTCCTCGGAGACCCTTCCGATTTAAAGAGAGGGAGCCGAGGGGTCTTAGGGTT